TCGCATACTCACACACACAAGCTCCAAGTTTGTAGCTGTGTTTGTAGTAGTTGAGTTATATGAATAATAGTCAAGTGTATTGTCGTTGCTTTTGCATAATGTGTTCTAATAATGGATCGTAAACAATATTTGATTCCTACTCATTTTAAAAAATCTACATTCAAGCGTAAACATTTTCGAGACAATCACACCAAATGTAGTAATAACTATGGTATTCTCTTTTATTGTACACATACACACACACAGACACCTGTTTATGCATAGCTATTTTTAAGTTTGACTTAATAAGAAATTTAACACTCTTTTCGCATTTATAAGGTAGTCTATCCGTCCATTTATCTAACTGTCTGTTTGTCTATTTGTCTGTCTGCCAGTTTTGGGTGAATCCAATCTTGTTTTTTGCCATTTGTTTTAAGATAATGAGGCATTGGTAGAACAGATGATTTATATACATTCATATATATTGTGTATTCGTTTTGTGCGCATGTATGTGTGTGATTGTGTAGTTGTATGTGCTTTTAAGTAAATTAATTGTTTATTGGTGATTATTATTAAAATACTAAAAGTATTCTAATTGTGGAATTTTTTCCATTTATTATTTAAAACCGCACATATGTACATATATACACACATAAAAAGAGTGGCAATCTACAAAGATACAGTTATATCGTACATATATGTATATTGGCAGTTTTTGGGAAAAAATTTAATTTAATAAAATATATTGTATAATACAATATTAATGTAGCAAATTTGGACTATACTCTCGTTTGCGCTAAATTTTAATGGAAATATATTTTTAATTAATTTTTGTGCTTTAGATATTATTGTTTAAATATCATAAATAAGGTTTATGGCACATAAACTAGGATAATATAGTTTATAATTATTTTTTAATTACTCCTTATATAAAACGAAAAATGTTTCCGAGATTTTTTCACATGATCTTGAGTTGCTTCACTTTACTGCTTAAAAACATATGTAATTATGCATTTTAATTTTAATTAAATTATCAGCTGGAATTATATACATATTTACAGCAATAAAATATTTTTAATTATAATGCAACCATTAAAAAGTTAATAAGTCAATTTGATTATAGTAAATTACTAATCAGATAAATAAAAATTAAAGAAATAAATAAATATAAAAATAAAATAATGAAGACATACCGATGCGTTGCGATAATTATGTCATAAACTTTTTATAAAGTTAATTAACAAAGAATAAATTAATCAATTTTAGTAGTAATACAAGAAACTTGTAGATTTTTATTTATAGATTTGAAAAAATAAGCAGATATTTTTATTATATTTTTTACGGATTTGTTTTTTCATGTTATTTTATTTATTTATTTATTTTTATTCTCTTTTCTTGCTTTCATATATGTATGTACATACAAATAGTACAAACATAAACACATTTGTGTCATATATATCATATTTTGCACAATTGCATACATATTAGAATGTTCACTATTTATTTATTTTTTTTTGAATTTCTGGCTAAAAAAATATCTTTTCACTACCTTATTCAAATATTAATAGATCGGTATATTAAACATAAGTCATTCAAATATTTCTTCTTTTTAATGCATTAAAAGACTACCGACAACTCAACTCAGTCGTTCAACTCAACTTGGTGCCCGGATAAACAGTATTGATCTTTAATTTCTGTCTTAAGGAAATTTTTTGATATAAATACAGCAATAAAGTGGTATATATATTTTTCTACAAAATATTTTGATATTCTACAACCTATGGAGTTAGCTCTTTAATTATAAACATTCCCTTTTTCAATTTAAACTCAAAAATTATTAATCGGAATATCGGAAAGATATTTTGTCGAACAAAATTTTTTTCCATACAAGAACTTGATTTATAGTGGTCTGATCTGAACAATTTCTTGGGATATTGTTCCGTTGCCTTGGACAATAGTCCATTTAAATATCGTAAAGAAAAACTGGTCCGATATCGATGGTTAATATTTGGCGGAGAGCAGCTTCTTGGGACAAAAAGGACATGTGCAAAATTTTAGATCAGTATCTCAAAAACTGAAAAACTAGTTCGAGTATGTACACACAAACGGACAGATATACAATGATAAATAAAATCAGCTCGTCATGCTGATCATTCATATATATATATATATATAATTTAGGGTATCCGACGTTTTCTTTTGGGTGTTACAAGCTTGGTGACTAAACTTAATATAGCTGTCCAGGTTACAAATATTAAAAATGCTTGATAGCTATTACTTACACATATCTATGCAAGAGAGAGAACGAAAGTGATCAGTTGACTCGTTAAAGAATAGAGGCACTAATCCCGAATTCCTTAATTCATTATTATTTTATGCTTATAAAATTAACAACCTTGTGTTAAAACCTGGAGCAAACGTCCTCTTCGATTCGATTTTCTCTGTCATTTTCAAAAGTTGCTTTTTTGTCAAGATTTACATATGTAAACAGGAATAAACTTACTCAGTTAAATTCATTAAAAGAAAGTTGATTGATATATTTTTAAAATGGTATAGGTTAGGTTAGGTTGATACTCCCTTTTCTTTTCGACATCCTCAAAGTTTGGTGATTTAAAAAAATTATTTAAGTTTGTCTTGGTACTTAAGAATAATAGATACGTCCCCTAATAATAATAGTAATTTCTGAGGGGAACTAAAAACTTATTTTCCAAATAGTTTTTTTTAGATTTATTAAAAATTAAATACAAAACTTCAGATTTAATTTCTCATTGTGTATAATATATGTTTGATGTTTGATATAAAAAAGTTTTAATGTATTTAAAAATAATAGAATCGTATGCAATATTAATTGAAATGTTTTATTTACGACGTATTTTCAATTGGTCGTCCAGAATTACTTCAAAATTGATATATTCTTTGACTCAATGTGCTATTAACATATGAAAGCAAACAAAATGTCAATTTCATAAAATACAGGCGCATCCTAGTGTCGAAAAATTATACTATTTTTCCAATGCAATCTAATAAATTTTAAGAAAAATAAAGCATCAAATTTAAAAGGTGTCAAAATCGCATGCTATACTTGTTCTTAACTCTAATTTTGGGATGTAGTAAAAGTAAAGGGATCCAGAGATTTGTCTAATGTATTATTTTCAACTAAAAATAAATTTTTAAATACTTATTAATTCAAAAATATCTATTAATAGATAATTAGGTAAAAAAACATCTGGAAAAAAAATAATACACACCCTAATGCACATACACACCACCCGTATTTCTGATTGATAACGATCAAAATGTTTGGAAATTGTGAAATTCTTGTTTAACACCACCAACTCTTGACGTTTGCAGCGGTGTTCACACCTTATTTGTTACTCCACAGCATGTATGGTTCCTCCTGCCACTTTTAGTAGTTAATCTGTCACTCAATGATGTAGTGGCTGCCAGAAGTGCTCACTCAAAGCATAAATAAAAATAATAAAATAAAATCGAGGCATAAAGAATACAAAAATACAAGAAATCGTGCACACTTGTCTTGTTAAGTGCGTGTGGGATACAGCGCTGACAGTTTTAGGCCGCAGTTATTTGCTCACCAATGTCCCACATTTTTCCCAAAGCCACTAAACTTTACCAACTTTCAACTTGCAGACTCATTAACGATCACTTAATCGATATTTTATTGCCAATAGATGAATTGTAGGTACCAAACACCTTCCGTTCACTATTCATTATTGATTATTAATTATACACTTACTCAGCTATGCGTCTCAGCTGTTTATGCACACAAACACACACACAAATCACAGAGATTTGGGTGAAAATTAGCTGTGGGGCATTTCAAGTATTTATTAGCTGAACATTCAATTAATACTTTGAAAGCAATAACAAGGTGGGAAAGCCCCAAAAACGTTTATTAATTTATTAACATTTGTGAATTTCAAACACTTTCACGGCACAACTTAATTTCGGTTCGATAGCAAATTAATTTGTTAAACTTTTGCCTTCAACATTTAACTTTCAAAAAAATCGATTGTATATTATGGCCATAAAGATTTCAACAGTTCACCGCGTTCATTTATCAATTAATCTGCTAAGCCGCAGCATTGAAGTTCGATTATCCGGGTTATGTCTAGATCCAGTTTCTGTACGGCAGTATATAGATATTATTAAGGCAATTAATGTAAAATTAATTTGATGAGCGAACCATTACATAATTGTTACAACAGCAGAAGGGCGGCCCGGCGCACGCGTGTTCACATACATCAGTATGCAAATGTACATAGGTGTTGCAATTTATTAGAGGAACTAATATAATAAAGTAAACAGTTAAAAGCGGCATAAAATTATTTACAACAAAAGCACACACATACAACTTTATGGACGAATAAGAGGTTGTTTAAATGAATGCAGTAAGCGCCGCCTAATTGAAACATTTGTTTACATATTTTTTAAAAAGTTGCCAGCTGGTTGAGAAATATAATTTACCATCGTATGCAAATTAAGAAAAGGGTATAAAATGGAATGTAGTAATGGTTAAAAAGACAATAAATGAACGATTAATAGCATAAAATACAGTTTTACCAAAGTTACCACCTCACTGAAACAAAATATATGAAAATATGTTGCGAAATGGAACTCTAAAAATTAAATAATTCATACTATTATTGATAAAATTCAATATACATACAAACTTAATTTTTTGAATACCTTATATGGCTTTTATATTTCTAACACTCAATTTTTCCTATTGAATTCTTGACTCGTTTATTTAAAATTATTTGTTTTAGTTTTTAAAAAGTTTTACTTAAAATTTCTTGGTAATTTTAATTTATTCATGCAATTAATTTTATTTTAATTTTAATAATTCATGCTAAGAATAACACAACAATAGGCAATAGTTAAAAGCTTATAATTGATTACCGTTATGTTCGAAGTTTTGCATAAATAATTAAAATTAAAACAACTAGTTGTTGTATGCCTAATTTGCATTTTTATTGATAAATAATAGACCCCTTTGGGTATTTTATTTATTAGCTTAAATTTTAACTTTATTTTAAAATGTAACTGTACAAAATATATATTTATTTTCCCCTTTTCTCTCTTCATTACAGCCTCTGCATTTACATTTAGTCGCCTTAAATAACTTAACCTAGAAATCTACAATGTTACGGTGTCAGCATATTCTGCTCGGCCTTGCGGTCACACTATGCTGTGGCGCCAGCTTCGCACAGTATTCATCGAATATGTTCCTTAATGGTGAATATCAGAATGGCATTAAAGCGAATCCAAGTAAATCAAACGCAATAAGTCCGGCAACAAATATATTTTTGGAGCATGCAATTATAAGTCGGCAGGCATCACCGTTTAAAGGACCCACCTATTTACCACCTGAGGAAATTCTGAAGTGTTCCGCCGGCAAACAATGTGTTTTGCAGGGACAATGTTTGGATGGTTACTTTTCGAATCCATCTTTAAAGGCACAAGTAAGTGGTTCTAAAAATAGTTTAGGCACAAATATGAAGATGTGGTTGATAGAACAGTTAGTCTATACATGTATATGCATATTTTGTTATCTCTACTCTACGCTGGCATACTCATAGAATGTCGTAACTCAATAGTATAAAAGTGAAGGCAAATTTAAATTAAAAAAATATTTTTTGTAAATAAACAAGGTATAAATAATACTGTTATGATATTTTTTTGCCAAATAAAGCCATATATATAGTTCATTATTTATATATAACCAAAATTTTTATATTTTTGAGTTATGTCACTCTTTTAGGTAACAAGCAAAAAATTAAGGAATAACAAAGTTCTATGAACAGGCAACTGATCTGATTTTTTGCAATATTATCGGGTTCATTTGATACCATTAAAATATTATTTTGTGTAGTTGCCACCTGTCTTGAAAGAAATTTTTTTATGAAAGAGCTTAATAGTGTAAAAATTTTGTTCTGGAGTACGTGCTCAAACTTTCTTTTTCCCAATAGCATCGGTTTAGCTTAAAGCTTAAGCGTGGTTGCCACCCTTTTACAATTGTGAAATACGTATTAATAAAGTAATAATATAAAAATTAATAAACATTCAAGAATTTAGTACTATTTAAACCCATATTATTACATTCAAAACAAAAATAAATGAAGGCAAAGTTATATAAGAACGGTAATTTCAGCAAGTCCTATATTCTATTTCCAGTATTTGTTATCGTGCTATAATAAGAAAAAGAACAAAAATCGTCGTTTTTAGCTGATTTGAAATAACAAATCCACAGTTTTTCCTTTTTTATACAGAAAGGTCAAGCGGTTGTTGATCCAAAATACGCGGTGCAATACAAAAGAATATTTTATAAATTCGGATGCAAACAATAAATATATATACGAGTTTACATACGTATTATATACATGTATATAGTAGGTATTTCATATGTTATAGCTTGGCGTATAAAAGCGTAGTGGTGAAATTGAAACTTTAAAAACCACAAGAAATCATCTAAAATACCCGCTGCACACTAAGTTGGTTCAAAGGTTATTATTTCTAATTTATTTCATTGGTTTTCAAACCAAAACCAAAAACAATGATAAAACAAAATACCAAACTGAATTCCATTAGCATGGCTCATAGTTTTCGGAAGCAAATAATGCTTTAAAATATAAACAAAAGGAGAAAAGCGAGTAGTTATGAAATTCCGTGATTTACGCATTGATTTTAATCAAACATTTATTTACATGCTGCTTCGTAACAATTTGCAAATGTGTACGTGCGTGTGTGCGCATACAATTTGGTCGGTCACTGGCAAACGAAAGACTTAAGCAACGAACTTGTTCTGTATGCAAGCGGCTCCAGCGACTGCAGCCACACATTTCACATACATTTAAAACATATGCATGCTGTTGTAAGTACATATGTATGTATTTATGCATGTAATCAATGTTGTGGTTGTTGTTGTTGTTGTAAAATTTGAATCTACGAAGAATTCGAAAAACCAATTGCCGCACGCTTGTGAATTCGCCAAACGGAGGCATACAAACAGCAAATAATAAACACATAACAGTAACAACACAACAAGGGCGCAAGCGTAATGTAGTAAGCAAATGTATGCATAAATAAGTAAATACAAATGTAACTGCTGTCGCTGTTGAATATTACACTGGGCGAGTGCATATATTCTGAGCAAATACAACAAACATGTGTGAGCCAGCATGTTGGTGGACATTGTCGTAGGCGCTGATGATGCTTTGTTGCATTTGTTTGTCTGATTGTTTCTATATATCTTTATATATACTTCTTTATATATTATACCTTTTTTGTTTATAGTATTTAATTTGATTTTGTTACGCGGCCACTTATGGAATTGCTGCCAAGCTATTCAATGTGTGTAGAGTCATGGTTTGGCTTTTGTAGCAGGCAATTTGCTGAGCAACGAAAATAATGTGAACAGGAAGTTAGCTCGAATTAAACTTGACTTTGTAATGAAGCATTTGCATTGTTGTTAAAACGTAATTTACTTTTAAATTATTGCATTTAAAAAAAAAAATTATAGATATAAATATATATGTATAATACAGCAACGCTAAAAATGCAAACAAACAAGCGTAAAATTACAAAAACAAGAAAATAAGATAACTTCGATTGCACCGTAGCTATAACACCTTCACAGGTCCATTTGTATAGTAACTAAATGTAATATTAAATCAAAATAAGTACGGCCAACGTTGTGCAAGTTATTTTACTTTCCATTTCTTTCATATAGACAACTTTCAAGTCGAATTAAAGTTACTTAAAAGGACAAATATTTTATGAAGCTCTTTGGATCGATCAATTTGTATTGGGAGATTGTAAGGCTGTCTGCAAAATAATCAGTGTCAAATTTCGTGAAGATAATTTCTGAAATAAAAAATGTTCCATACAAGAATTTGATTTTGGCGATGGGATTGTGGCGGCTATATGCAATAACATAGTAGTCCGACAAAAAAATTTGTTCAGAGAATTTAACAATGCCTTGTACAATAATCTGTGTCAAATTTCGTGAAATATATCTTATCAAATAAATTACTTTTATATAAGGGTTGCTTTTGACTGAATAGATTATATGACAGCTTTATCCTATAGTAGTCCGACATCGTCGATTATGACATTCTTGGGTAGAAAAGAACGTATACAAATTTTTCATCGATATCTCAAAACTGAGAAAAGTTCGCGTATATACATACAGACTGACTGATGAACTCGGCTAAATCGAATCAGTCATCATACTGATCCAGAGTATTATATACTTTATAGGGCTTCCACCATTTCCTTCTGGGTGCTACAAGCTTCGTGACAAACTTAATATAACCTGTTCAAGTATAAAAACAAAATAAAATAACAAATGAGCAGAACCCCACCACCATCAAAAGCGGGTGTTGCTAAGTACAAAGCATCTGCTTAAAAAATACCAAAGTGTTGTATTTGTATTTTGGTAATTCATTGCTAATTCCGACTGTGTGTTGTTTCTGATTACACGTTTAATTTGTGCGAAACACATTATTAGACGCTTACACAGCCGGCACTGTGAGAAATTCAATTCATTGGCTTTTGTGTGCTGCAATTGTGTTCCAATCATGCATTAGGAAATGCCCACACCATGCGGATCACAAGCCATGGCTGCGCTGCCAGTGCCAACAAGCCGTCTCGAATGCAATAGAAATTTATTTGTACGATCCGTTACTGCTTAAGCTTTTTAATGGTCTATGACGAATGTTGAGAAATGTCTAACCAAATATATGGATTTGTATATGCATATTCTCTCAGCCGAAGTCCGCCTCTATAATATGAGAATTATATAGATGTAAATTGTGTTTTTGAATTCAATTCTCAGCACATTTTAGCCTGTGTCCAATTCAGGTTTTCTCATCACAAAATATTTGGTCGCTGAAGGTCCAACGTATAAAATGCATATTTGATTTGAATCATCCGGCTCATAGGAAATCCGCAATGTGGTTTGGGGTTTTCCTTTAAAACATTACGAGTTTATATATTTTTTAAACAATAAACTGTAATTTGTTGCCAAGAAAGCGAAGGCAGACGACACGCAATTGTTGTGATTGCTGCAGTTTACAAAAGAGCTGAATTTTTAAACATTGAATAGCCATTAAAATTGCGTTTTGTTCACTTTGATATTTGATTTTTCTTCTTCACCCTTCTTCTCACACCCTTGCGGCTTTAACAATTATTAAATAATTTTAGTTTTTAACATAGCCAGTTTCACACCTAAATCGCTGAGCTGATTTGTTTTAAAACTAGGACTAAGACTAGAAAAGCCTGTTAAATGTTAGAAATAGTTGAGAACTATTTTCTATATGAATTTCTTCTACAATTCCTCTTACTAGACTTGAAATGTCGCAACCAAAAGTTCCAAATTTGGGCGTAAAATACAATTTTGATTGAGGTTAGAATATGAATTCGCAAGTTATCAACTTTGAGAAACAAAAATAAATAAATAAGTAAGGAAGTTCTAAGTTCGGGTGTAACGAACATTTATACTCTCGCAACTTGCATGAATCAAAGCCCGGAAAGTACTTTAGGTGTTGGCAAATTTTATATCAAAGGAATATTGATCCGATTCAACTCATTTTGACACAAGACATAGTATTATCAGAGTTATTTATTTTATTTTTAAATTTCAATTATAATTCTCTCCATTGACATTGACCGATATTTTCGGTGAAAAGTCAGCTATAGGCACTAGGGTCACATTTCAGTGCCTAGGCGCCTAAAACAGTTTGGTTCGATTTATATAATTTTGGTTATAAGGTGGCATACTTTAAACGTATTATTCACGCAAAGTTTTACGCTTATATAATCATTGTTGCTTGATTTGCATAGTGGAAAGTGAAAGAATCAGATGGAATTTAAAATGGGAGTATATGAGAAATAGGCGTGGTTATAATCCGATATCGCCCATTTTAGCACTATAACATAGAAATATAAGAAGAATGTTATGTGTTATGAGGCCGAAACACGCCTACTTAAAAAAAAAATTCAACTGCAGATACCTCTCCCGAAATTGGTCCTGTATACTGAATAACAGTCTTGTATCTTATTGTGGAGCTTAGTTATGGCAATTTATTTATTTTTGATTAGTGGCGTTTTGTGGCCAACAGTTTTACGGTACTCAGAAACATGTGTACCAAGTTTCATAAACATATCTCAATTTTTACTCTAGTTACAGCTTGCACAGAAGGACGGACGAACAGACGGACAGACAGTCACCCGGATTTCAACTCGTCTCTTCATCCTGATCATTTATATATACATAACTCTATATCTAACTCGATTAGTTTTAGGTGATACAAACAACCGTTAGGTGAACAAGAGTACACAAATATTGATATTTCAAAAACTCAAAGTTAATTTATTGAAATTAGAAGCTAGATTCTATAGCTTATTTGCACTTTTAACTTCTATTCCCAATTTTGAGGGTACACATTTTTTAGCAAATAAAGTCTAAATGATTGAGGTTAGAATATGAATTATCTAACATATTACGATTTAAAACCCTACAAATAATAATTTGAGGCTGAAATATAAAATAATTCAATTCAATTATTTGAGGTTAGAATAATAATTTATATTAGCGAAGTTGTAGTTATTACATTGGTTGCATACAGAAGTGGAGAAGATTGCACTTTGCGTAACAAATATATTTTTTCGAAAGAAAAAAATACACACATTGCAGAAACAATTTATATACATATATTTTTTGCATTTAAGTGGATATTTGCACTCTTGTAACATTTTTTGTTACAAAAATATTTTCCCAAGGTCATTCAAATAAACGTCTACTTTAGTGATGTCTTTAATTGACCTTCTTCAAGCAAATTCACTCTGAATGCCAGTGCTTAGTCGCAATTTTTAAATTGACCTCTCAACACAATGTCAAATACTATTTCAAAGTGCTCACAATATTGCACTTAAAATCGAGTGTGAGTAACAATGATACTCATCGCACGAATTATCTCTTCATGTCCAAAGATTTATGTAAAATGTGTGGCTTCCGCTTAAATTGAGCTGCCAACTCACGCATTTTCATTCTACCTAACGACCTCATTTAAGCGACTTGTTCGTTCAGCGCCATTTATACTGACGTGACCTTAACAGAATTTAGAAATTAAAATTTTTAAACAACGAAATTAATGGTGCAGCGTCATCTGTCTTTGGTGGTGATGATGATTTTTCTTGCGAAAAGCAGAGTACTTTATTAGCCAGCTTTTATATTTGACGTCAAAATTTGAGATATTGTGTGTTTTCATCATGATTTCAATAGGGAACATAAATTATTTCCACTTTAGTTTTAACACATAATAAATTACTTTTGAAATTAGGAAACTAGCAGCGTCATACTGCATACTTGCTATTGAACCCGTCGAAACTCCTTGGAGGCGCTACAAACGCTAAATTAATGTACTTATTTACTTTAGTTTTTATTGAAAGGTAGTTCATCCATTGCTTATGCTATATTTCAATGACACTTAACCTCAAATATTGGTGGCAGAAAACGTGATCACTTCAATTTGAATAAGGCGCGCATGAAACTCAAAAAAAGGAGAATAATAGTTAATGCTTTTTCGCTATTTTCCTTTGTTATGTTTCGCCCGTAAGTACAGCGTTGAGCACATGTATTTTCAAGGTCGTATAATTAGTGTCCGTTTGTAATACCATTTTTGTTGTAAACAATTTATCATACAGCAATAACAGGATTATTATGAAACCAAATATAGAACAGACAATATTTAGCGAAATATAAATAGTTTAGATACTCTTAAAATTCCGTTTCATTCGTAGTTAGTCAACGAAGTAGCGCGCTCTACTGGCTTACTGCCAAAAATTCTACCCCAAACATATGCGTAATGCATAGTAATTTTTAAAACAATACTTTTTACTTATGAACATAAACGCTAGTTGTCATGCCGGACGTGTTTTTCATTTTTTCTGAAATTTTTTTTACCAACATTCCGTGTTACATCATAAATTAATATCGTATTAGAGAGCTAATCGTGTATTACCTCATACCATAGTTGTATTACCAGTATCTCTTCTGACCACGTGTAGCTACCGCTGGTGCTGCTGCTGCTTCTGCTGCTCAAAAACTGGATGGTACTCTATTAAGTCAGTGAGGCGTAGGTTCTAGCAAATGAATATTTTAATTAGCATTCGAGATTTCAAAAGTCACAAATCATCAAGTCTACTGTCTACCTAGAACTTGTTGCTGATCGGCGGTTGACTCAAGCGCTACGCGTATAATCACCAGCGGACAGACAAAATGTCAAACGCTTGTCAACCGACTAAGCATGGCATAAACTTGATGATATCGTAAAGCTTAGAATGATACCAACTTTGAAGGGTAAGAACAACAGTTAAGCCGACATTTGAGAGAGCCGAAAATGCGTAAAAATATAACATAACATAAATACATGCATTTGTCATTGTAGTTTTGCTTATGTGCAATTAATTTGTCTGAACGATTTTTATTTACGTTATTGAGTTGATTAATGATCTAAATATGAGCATATGATGGATTCGATTGACGAATAAACTAGTCGCTCATTTCATTTTCAAATTCGAAAAAGAGTGCTAACTCAATTTAGTAAATAACCGGTTCATTTATTTTGATTAAGCACATGTCTTCCTTAATAATAAAGCAACACCAATCATAATTTAAAAATATTTTTATGGACAATTCGAAGTTAGTATTTAATGCTATTATATCTATTCCTAAAATTCAATAAAAAGCCGAATATTCAATTAATCAAATAATTAATTAATAACATAGGGAAAAAATTAGTGGAAGACTGATATGCTTTTCAAAGAGGTGCTTAATTTAGTCAATTAATAATTTAGGTTTATAGGTTCCATTGTAGGTGAATAGTTAATTGACTTAATTAATAAAACCCATATTACAAGTTTGTCTGAAAACTAACGCTACTTTCAACTTTTTTAATATTTTTAGTACGTATCAGGTATTTAGATCAAATTTACAGACATTTTGAGCATGCCTACATATCCACTAAATTTTTTTGTATCAGTTATTGATTATTATGACTGATAATATTTTGTAATTTTTCTAACAAAAATTAACAATAATCTAATATTTCTTTTGACCTCCAAAAAAAAAAGGATAAAAGATCTCTTCCTTATAAAATATGAGTTAACATACTTAGACAAAAATTACTAGAAATTTATGGACCCAAAATCTATACCTATATATCAAGACTCCTTCGTCAATTGATAGTACTTTATAATGCTTGAAACCGGCAGAGTAAACGATGCCTTTTTTTGAATAGCATTTTCTTTTCTCAATTTAGTCTTCGAATTCTTGATGAAATAATTTAAGGGTGATAATTTTTATTGCACATTTCCATCAAAACGTGAAAAATTCACATAAAAAACGTTATAGCTGAAACGTATTGCATACAAATTATTAGTTAATGTATATTATGAGCCTCTGATTAAACCAAAGCTCTATTAAACTTATCTACAAGTTTTAACTGGTAAAACAAAATTTTAATAAGCTTGTTCCCACACTCTTCTCACACTACCAAGCATTAAATTCAATTTCCCACACAGATAATTGTTATTGGAAAAGTATATGAAAATACTTTCTAATAAAAACATTAATTTATTAATTTTTATTGCCATATAGATATAAACAATACATATAAATACAAGATAACATGTGAATTTAATAATTGAAAAGTACGTAAAAGTCACGAGCGATGAAAATCGAATTATTTATTATTATTGTTATTTAATATTGTAGTTTAAAGTTTATATTTCAAATGCTGTTTATTTGTTTCGCTTGGTATACAGAAAAATAGATTCATAGATACCTCTAAAAAAGCCTCATCAAGAATGAGCTCTTAATTGTAACGCCTTACAGTTTTCTATTTTTTTCTTATTATCAGATAGAAAAACTCATATCTCGCTTCCAACTCCTTGAAAAAGTATCTTGTTTCTTAGAAATTGTAGGAAATTGAATACTCTACAAGCTGGTTTATTACGATTTACTGTTCTGAGTAGTCTGAGTACGAAAAAAAAATACATATTCGTTTTTTTGACTGCCTCTAACATTTATATATATGATATTTCTCACAATAATCCATGTCAAATTTCGTCAAGATATTTCGTCCAATGAGAAAGTTTTCCATACAAGTACTTGATTCCGATCGTTCAGTTTGTATGTCAGCTATATATAATACTATAGTTCCGACGAATGAGCAGCTTATTGGTAAGGAAATGACGGGTGCAATTTTCAGATCGATATCACAACAACTGAGACACTAGTTCGCATATATACAGACAGATAGGCATGGCTAAATCCACTCAACTCATTACGCTGATCATTTAAATATATACTTTATAGGGTCTCTGACGTTTCCTTTTTGGTGTTACAGACATCGTGACAAACTTAATATACCCGTTTCAGGGCATAATTAAAAGTTCAAGTTACAGAAAAAGTGATAAGAGAAACTCCAAAATTGTCATTAATTTTTGGTGTGAAATAAAGCTAAAACCTGAGTCTTATAAATATGTTTAGAGAAATTGTCATTTCTTCTCTCAACTGTACTCTCAGAGAAATTTTATATAAAAAAACTTTTTACTCTCTTTTTATTCATATAAACTTTTTTTGCCTAAAAATTTTTTTAAACTATTTAATTTCTGGTCAGTACAGATAGAATTTAAATATTCGTAGAATCAGTTAAGAAAGTTCAAGTTTGGAAAAAATTTCTTCGTTAAAAATAAACATCTACGCAAAGACAGATACGTGCTTATATGTATATCCATAGTATAACTCTCAAATATTCTAGATTTCAAGTATATACATACTTTTTTAGTTCAAAACAATTGTCAAAAATGTCTTCAATCCATATTAATCATAAGTTTACACGCCAACAAGTGGTATAACATGACTTGTGCACCTTCACACGCTTACACGCGTAACTTTGACACTAAATATGAGAGCTGTCAAATGTATTTAGGCGTGCAACTGTGAATTTAGCGGTATTTAATCATATAAGCCATAATAAATTAAAAACCACGAGCCTTACAGACAACTTATTTAAAATGTAAACAATAAGTCAAGCGTGTGTGTGTGTGTGAGTGTGAGTGTCAGTGGTCGAATCGATCATATAATAAATCAAAAAGCAATTAGAGTTATGACTTCGATTATTTGCAGACGAAATATGTAAATGCAAATGTTTTAATATAAATGTGTGCAAATCATAAGAGGGATTAAATTAATATTTTCGTCACTGTATGCAATTTATCGCAAGCTATTTCATTTGATTTGCTGCGGATAAATTCGTATCGATTTAACAAGAAAATTGGAAAACTGACAGCAAGTGCATACATATAAATATATATATGCATTTAAATATTTATCCAATACAATTATATACTGTATATGCATATATGTATATATGGTATATATGAGTATAATATGCATACCGGCATCCGGAGGCATGTCATCGCGCTTTAATAGCATTTTTAGAATAAAGAAGCAATAGCTTTTTCTGAAAATCTGACATCTGCCAACACCAATGGCAATTGCCCATTAATCGTTGCTCATTCAATTGCATTAGCAGCAACGTTTCTGGTCAAAAGCTGCTGTACAAAATAGTTTTCTGGGGTCAATGTGATTGTGGTAACTTATTTACATAACTTGTCAAATATGTAGATACACAAATAGTAAAATGATGAACTAAAAAGTAAAAATGACAGTTCCACGCTAAAATAGATCTAGTTCGAAAAGCAACTAGTTTGAAAATAGAGTTTTTGGTCTGAAAATTAACCACTCTGAAAGAAAACATTCTTGTGCTTCTTTATAGTAAACTTACTATGCTAGAATCGGAGCTTCAAAAAAAAGGCAGCCTTTCACCAGCTATAGAATACATTAAATATGATATATTTATGATTTTATTTTCTTTATCTTTTATAAATTTTCCTGGCCTGCGGATTATTTTCACTTTGTCTGTAGATTCTCCGCAGTATACAACTGGCTAAAATATTAGGTAAAATAAAAAGTTCGTTCGGTTTTTTATCGATTTTTCAAAAGATGATAACTTTGTGTACATTTGTCCGATTTAAGTCAAATATGCGCCGTTTTGTTCGTAAACTTGTTGCCAACGAGATGCGGTCCAGTGATGTGTTGGCAGTAGAGGGCCGAATTGAGCGTTTGGCCATAGGGGAGCAGCTCGCAGTAGATGATTCCTTGCCCATCCCACCAAACACACAGCAAAACCTTCCTGGCCGTCAATCACTTTTCATCGCCAGTCACAATCCGCTTCAGAAACGGGTCGATTTTGTTGCGATTCTGCAGCGATTTGCAGATGGAAATTCGGTCCATCATGTTTTTTGCGTTAGTTCGTGTGGCACCCAAACAACGAGCTTCTTTTTGAATCCAAGGTTATGCAAATGGTTCCAAACGGTTTTCTGGCTTATCTTTAGTTCCTCAGCAATTAAATAAGTGCTCACGTGACGGTCTGTTTCCACTATTTCCATGATTTTATCGCAATTTTCGACGACAGGCCTCCCGACGCGTGGTGTATCTTTGACATCGAAATTACCGGAACGGAACCTAGCAAATCTGAGTAAATCAATCGAAAAACTGTCAAAGACAAACTTTTAGCGCGAATAAACACGTTTTCAGCGCCGTACAGTATGACATGATGCGACACGTAACACTACTACTAGTACTATAGCTTAATAAAAAATAATTTATTTTTTCGAAAATGGCGTAGTGCGAAAGAAGACTAGTAATAAAATTCTTTATAATTCTTTGTAATGTATTTATGTAGTTTTTTTTAATTGAAACTAGTGTTTTAGTACATAATTACACAAAATTTCTTGGTCTAATTCGAATTAGTATAATACTAGAATAATTTTGAGCAAAAGATGATCATTGACTACACACAGAATAACATCATATCAAACATATATTATATACAATACCAGTTGTATGAAAAAAGAAGGCGAACTGACTCCAAAGTTGATCGAAAGGTTCATACTAGTTGTGCGATACTTTACAACTAGCTCATTTTACAACATACTTGGTCTGTAAACAACTGGCAGCGAAATCAGCTCTTAGACTGAGGAAATCCTCCCTATTAGTCGCCTGTAATAAGGGATATTCTATGATACTTGTAAGTTCTTGTTTCGACCCTTGAAATCTCATAGTATTGAACTTAAATTCGGTCTC